TATTCCGCTTAGTTTTATGTTAAATATGCGAATTTTGAAAAAATCGCAAAAATCAAAACGAACGTTTGCCGAATTGTCATGATGCTCATCACATTAAACAATTTAATTTAATTTCAAATATTGCTGCGAAAGCGTGACAAAATTTAAACTAGTTTACTAATTTGACGAGTCCCACGTTGAAACACAAGATTTCTATATTTGTAAGCCCGTATCCTTCTTTTCCAATTGAGAGATATATGGATGATTTATGAATTGATCTCATAAAATTATAAGCAGCTAGACATTATTTTGACACTACTTTCAACCACTGTAAAGTCGGTCTAGCTAAAAGGTCGATTTCCCCTTGATATGCTTGGTACACTGATACGTTTACTCGATGCTGACCGATATGAAATAATTAGATATCTATTTGTTGAAAATAATTTAGTAAACTATCACATTATATAATTTAAAAGTATGGGTTTTAAACAGCACTTTAAAAAACAGTACAACAGAACAACCAACACTCAAGAAAATAACTTCAAAATTGTAAGCGTAAACCTTGGAGCATAGTAAAACTGAAGCATCCATTTATGGGTTATTCACGCTGTGTACCTGAGGTGACTATACTGTCGAGGGTATCAATTTTCTTGTACCTGACAGAAATGATTTAATACATTTGAGAGTGTTGAAATATTAAGTCCGAATTAACGATATCGGGTGTCATTCTAATTAAAGAAATCCGACTATAACCTCATTATTCTCGAATATAATTTTGTTAGTTTAACTATTTTTCATGTCCCTTCTACAGTCTGTTATTTGTGATCCGCAGAACGGAATCTTTTCTCTGTTTGATCGCATTTTGTATAAAATTAATGATGATAATGAAACTGAAACCCAAATAATAGTATCAACAGAAAAAATGATAATAATAAATACTTCTGAACAAAAATAATAACAGTCGTTTTCTCCAAAAACTATAAAAAATCAGTAACAAAAGCTGATAGTTATCTATACTGCGAAGCATTCCATACATTTTTAAAAAGAATATGGAATATCTTTTTCATATCCGAATGTGACCTACCAAATTAAACTTATCACCAGGTTTATACTTACATAAACAACACGACGGGCGTCAGTTGTAGAGCAGGATCTGCGTACCCTCCAAAGCACTCGAGATCACCCTCGGTTTTAGTGGGGTTCTTGTTGCTCAGTGTTTTTAAAAAAAAGTTCATCGGAAGATACCAAGACCTGGTTGATAAATATTCCGTATCAACTTCACAAATAATACATGATGGTCTTGAAGTATAGATTCTAGGTACTGACGTTGTTTATTATCAGAATAACGTGTTCTTTTATAGGTCTTTGTGGATTGTTTACCTTTGCTGTTTGGTCCATTTTTGGTAATATCCTTTTGGCGTGGCTCGGTACTTATGCATCCCGCCATTGTGTTGTTGTGCTGTGGTCATTTTTTGTATTCTTGTCTTTCATTTTTGCTTGTGGGCTTTGTCTTATGCCATTTTGTTTTTCTTTGTTGACATATTTGTTTTTTTTTATAGTGATTAAGATTATAACACAGTGTTGACTGCTGCACCCCTATTTTTGACATTTTTACCTATTGTCTTTTTTGTTTTGATCACACATTGTTGTCAATATAATGGAATTTTATGCGACTGTCATACAAGTGAGAAGTTTAGCTAGCTATATAACCAGATTTAATCCACCATTTTCTAATACATAAGGAAATGCCTGTACCAAGTCAGGAATATGACAGTTGTTTTCCATTGGTCTGTTGTGTTTGAGCTTTTGATTTTGCCATTTGATAAGGGACTTTCCGATTTGGATTTTCCTTTGAGTTCGGTATTTAAGTTATTTTAATTTTTTCAGTACTAAGTTGTCTATGTTGTGTCTTGAATTCTGTTGTTTGTCTGTTGACTCTTGTAAGTTTTTAGCCATGGCATTGACAGTTTGTTTTTAACTATTGAGTCTGAATGTCCCGTTTGGATATTTCGGCTCTCTTAAGGAAAGCCAAGCTCTTCTTTAGTATTTAAATACCCGAAAAGCGTAGGCTATGACACAAACATTATACTATTTCCGATCCCGGGTCTCTTCCTTTTTTAAACTTATATAAACAACATCGTCGAATATACCTGTATTCATATATGATAATTTGCAGATTGGACCTCTTTATATGCCATTATTTGAAATGATTACAATACTATTTCTTGTTTATTCACTTAATATCGTGTGAGAATAAAAACATGGGTTTAATACTGTCTATCGGAGTCTATCGGAGTTAAGCGAGAGGAGGGGATTTCAGGTACTCCGTAACGGTAATCAGACCCTACATCACATGTGGCACCAGTCGTTTTGCTCATTGTGGGAACATATTAGTTTAGATATAATATCATTTTTGACAATTCAAATTGGAATTGAGAATGGAAGCGTGGAATGTGTGAAAGAGATAACAACCCGACCAAAGAGCAGAAAGAAACCCACGGCCACCAATGGGTCTTCAACGAAGGAGAAAATTCCGCATCCGTAGGCGGGCTTCAGTTGGCCCTTATACAATGATGTATACTAGTTCAGCGAAATGGACGCCACACTAAACTCCGAAACATATAGATGAACCAAAATTAAAAAGCACACAAGACTAACAAAGGCTAGAGGTTCCTGTCTTGTGACAAGCGCAAAAATGCTGCGAGGTTAAACATGTTTTATGAAATCTCAACCCTCCCTTTATACCTCTAGCCAATGTGGATTTATTCGCCCCATTCTAGAATGTGGTAGATTGTGGTAGTTTATATTATATAGAGTAATTGTACAGAAAGCTTATTAATTAAAAAGAACAACACCTAACAAATTGTATGCGTATTAAGCAATTATATAGATTGACCTTCAGTAGGACAGTTCATAGCCGAATATGTTTAGGCCATTATTTAGAAAATGTGTACTTACTTAATAAATAAGTTCTTGAAAAATTTCCAGACAGAAGAAAGAAGTATTTAACTTTTTGTATTGGATAAATTAATTTATCATTTTCTGATAGTGACATAATTGATTTTTATTAGAACAAATCTTCCTACACAAAATGAAAACAATTTAAGAACCCTTTATATTATTCATTGTCAATTGCGAAATGAAGCATGTCATTTAAATTCCCTTTTGTTTCAAGATTTTTGAAGTAAAAGTTTAGCCGTCCTAAATATTCATAGAAATATGTAGACACGCAACTTTTTATATTGTTCATTAAACACACAAAACAGGATCATGCTACGTGATAAATTGGTTGTTTTTAAAGTTAACATTGATGTGTTATCCTCTTTTGGTGAACAACCTATAAGAATTGAAGACAATCTTAAGATTGTTGAGGCTGTTCATGAATACATTAGAAAAACAGAAAGATTTGCAAAGTGAAATACATTTTCTGTATCCAACAATCTAATAAAATTGGATTTTTGTTTTGTGTTTTTTTAGTGTGTCTACAATTAATAAATCCAAGCTCGATGAAAGCTATATGAAATGAGACAAAAGTGTGAAAATAAAGAAAATAAATGGTAACGATAACTGATAGAAAAGTGATAAAAACTAATATTATGCACCAATATTTCCTATTTTATTCGAAACAATTTAAACTTCTTTTCTTATTCTTATTGCGTATCATTTATTACTATTCTATGTAACAACATGGATAACTACGTTCTTAATGAACTATTAAATGAGTACATGTATATGATATCAAATATGTTGTTTTGTTAAAATCACTTAATATAAAACAGCTTACTGGAGGCATTTTAGGTCAACAGTTTGTAATTTATATTAACTGACATCCTTTCATTGTATAACTTATGTAACTCAATTATCATGTATGGTCATAATTATCAATTATTTTTTTACAAAACTAAGACTTTTTCGAAATACTAAGGATTTTCTACCCTAGGTATAGATTACCTTACCTGTATTTGGCGAAACCTTTCGTTATTTTGGGTCCACAATGCTTTTCAACTTCGTACTTTATTTGGCTTTTTCAACTTTGTTTTTATTCGAGCATCACTGATGAGTTTCTTATTGACAAAACGCGCGTCTGGCGTACAAGTTTAATCCTGGTTTCTATGATGAGTTTATTAACAAGAGTTTGTTCATATATTAAATCACACAAATGTTGTTCATATGAGCTCGTTTTCAGTTATGATTACATATTATATTACTAATAATATCTTAATATAAGTTAATTTTTTAAACTAATGAGGAAATTTGAAATCAACAATTTTGTATTGTTATGATGCATATGTTCGTGAAATGTTGTCTTGTGTGAATGTAACGTATTGCACTTTCTTCTCAGGAGTGTTCTAACATAGGCTTAACCTAGTTCCTAACGCAATTCAATTTATTTTTGAACAATGGAAAACAGATATAAGAGCTATTCTACTTTTTGAATTGAAATGAAAGAAAAGATTGAAAAAAAATCTGATCATTTTGATAAATTATTAGGAATAAGGACTTAATTGACAACATAACTTCGACAAATTACGCGTGTAAAAATAGGTTATCAGCTAACACAAAACAAATACATAACTGATTTATTAAAGACTTATGTGGAAAACAAGTGTTTTATTCATATCAATCAACCACATTTGTCAAACGTGAAAACCTTACCAAAGTTTTATTCTTTATACGATTCCGGAAAACACAAGTATTCCATTTATAAATTCAAAAGAATTATATCCATTAGTTGCTAAAGATAAGGTGATTGACACGAAACTCTGGTAAAAAAGTCAAGTAGTATTAATAATTACTACAGAACAGGGAGGTATGTATCAAGATCACAAGGACCGTATTTGAAATTAATGTCTGAATATTCTCCTTAGGTATACCCGGAGGGTATTCGTTAATTGGCAACGAATAAACACATCCTCTTTAAAAATGTATAAAAGGATGCCTTTGTTCTGTCGACTGCTATTTCTTACACACGACAATGGACAATTTCTCATTGATATCCCTGATTCTATTTGACATTGCAGCTGGTATCCCATTACACATGTTTTATCCATATGGCCTTTCAACTGGCGACACTCGGCTACCAAGGAATGACGATGGAAGCTCTAGCGAAATTAATATCAGCACAGCATTTCCTTTCTTCGGCCATCGTCACAGATCACTTTTTGTAAGTTATCTTAATGTAGACACAGATAATTATGTGTACGGATCACGCAAGCTTGGTAACATGTTATTCTGTGAGTAAAAATCTGAAATTTAACATTCAATAAAATAAAAAAATAAAAAAAAAATAGACGTATTCAAAATTATTGGTTCAGGTCACATTCAGTGATCCGACTTTGCTTTTGAACGGATATTAAGTATTTTACCCTAACATTGGACAACGAATCAAATGAATACATACCTCCTATATGCACCCACCATTGTTTTCTTAAAATGTCCTGTACCAAGTCAGAATAATGGCCATTGTTATATTATAGTTCGTTTCTGTGTGTGTTACATTTTAATGTTGTGTTTCTGTTGTGTCGTAGTTCTCCTCTTATATTTGATGTGTTTCCCTCAGTTTTAGTTTGTAACACGGATTTGTTTTTTTCTCAATCGATTTATGAATTTCGAACAGTGGTATACTACTGTTGCCATTATTTAGTACGTGTGTATGACAGATAAAAATATAAGCATTACCTAGATGGAGTCAATGTTCATTAAATGATTCATAGCGAAAATAAAATTAATTTCTTGTATGTGAATCAATGTTTTATGTTATTTTAGAAGTAGAGATTTTCTTTTTTATACTTAAATCCCGGGTTTTACAATTACAGGTGAACACAAATGGTCCTGCGTTTAATTTTGTCATGCTAAGTTTGAGTTTATCTTGGAGTTCTGTATTTTTGTTAGAACTTTTTTAGTTGTTGCTTTTTTTTAATATTCTTGTACGTGTCTATAAATAAACAAAATTCTTTCTTATTTTTAGAAATTTACCTGTGAAAATATAAACGTCAGAAAAAATACGTCACTTTTTGTGACGTTGATCTATTCATGTGACGCGCAGTTTTTATTTCTTTTGTGGTGTCCTGGTGTGCTGTCGTAAATTCATGGGAGGTGTCCGTTGTTATTCTGCGGCTTACTTTTTGTAATGTACCAATATCTTATTTATTTATTTATTTATTTGCTGAGTGTTCTTGCCTTTTTGTAACTGTATTTCTGTCACGTAGTGTTGTCATTTTAGCGGTATTTTTTTTAACATTGTCATATAAGCGGGAGGTTTGGCTATCCATAAAACCAGGTTCAACTTACCCTTTTTTTCTAAATGTCCTGTACCAAGTCAGGAATATGGCAGTTGTTATTAGACAGTCCGTTTCTTTGTATGTTTGCTTTTGTTGTAGTTCATAGTTTCTGTTGTTCTGTTGTTTTCCTCTTATAGTTGATGTGTTTCCATCGATTTTAGTTTGTTACCCGGATTTGTTTTTGTTTAATCGAATTATGACTATTGAACAGCGGTATACGACCCATTCCTTTATTTGGTGTAATATATTAAATAGTGAAAATCATGTTTTATGCATTATTATGAAATAAGAAGATGTGTTATGAATGCCAATGAGACAGTTTTTTTACCAGAAAACAAATAATAAACCATGATTCATTTCAATAAATGTTTTTAATCACATTGTGTATTTGCAAAAAATATTACCAAGGCAATCAAACACTTTGAAAGTATCCATTTATTGAAAACTATGACGCAAACTATTTGTATGTTATTTTAGCGATGTACATTCCAGTGTGTTTTGGTCACTAATGGAATACATTCATTCGTTATGTTTAATTACTACAAGATGCAATGGACAACTGGTCATTCAAATGGAGGAGACACCTCAACAGGGCTTGGAGGTACACCTGCTCAGGTAACGGTAGCGACCGCAAAAAAATATCGATTTTAAACCTCAAATTAGAAATTAAATAAGTAATAGCCTTACATGATAGGAGAATGTTTGCTTAAAGAAAATTAGTTTAGAAATAAATGAAAACAACTAGAAGTAGCATAAATAGAAATTCAACAATATCAAAAAATAAAAAAGAAATATCTAAAAATGAAGTTACAGTAAATGGGCTATGTTACATGCAGATTTTGGTAAAATTTTACATACAACTCTGGCTCGTTGAACTACAACTTAAAATAAAAAAAAATAATGCATTATCTCTTTTATTTTTTGAAATATTACTAATTGAAATTTTTCAAAATAGGTGAATATTTGTATAGAAAGCACACAAAATCGGCAAAAAACCTTCTTAAATTTGTCTTAAAATCATCAAATCTCTAATTTCTAATACATAGATTTTTCTTAAATAACTATATTTTGTTGATACATAAATTTCCGTTTTAATAATGCAAAATAATGATAGGGTCATCACATTGCAGGCTGTAAAACGTTAATTTTTGACGTTTTTCACTACCAACTAGGTAACAGATTGATTATTAGACAAAAAACGAAGTCGGTGACTATATGATTATTTTATATCATTAAAACGGAGAAATTTATGTATCAATAACATATGTTTGTAAAAAAAATCTATGTATTAAAAATCAGAGATTTTATAATTTTAAGACAAATCTAAGAAGGTGTTTCGCCGATTTTACGTGGTTTCTATACACATATTCATCTGTTTTGAAAAAATTCAATCGGTAATATTTCAGATAATAAAAGAGAAAAATGCATTATATTTTCAATTTTCAATTATAGTTTATGCAAAAGTTTAGCAAAATCTATGACATAACCCATTTACTGTTCCTTGAACTTAAGTGATAATTTTACAAACCTAAATGATTGTTGAAAAATATCTTCAAAAAAATAGACACATGCTTATTTATAGAACTCATCTAAGTCACTAAGCTTATAGTTTAGTATTCTCAAAGCGCGTTTCGTCTCCATAAGACTTTTCAGTTGAACTTGAATAAAACAGTTGGAAGGTCATATCAATTAGAGTGTTAAGGTGAATTGAGCCAATAAATTAAAATAAGTTTTACCAAATCTGGCTAAGAGAGGCAACAGATACCAAAGGGACATTCAAACTCATAAGTCGAAAATAAACTAACAACGCCATGGCTAAAAAAGAAAAAGACAAACTGACAAACAACAGTACAAAAACACAACATAGAAAACTAAAGACTGAGCAACACGAACCCCACTAAAAACTGGGGGAGATCTCAGGTGCTCCGGAAGGGTAAGCAGATCCTGCTCCAGATGTGGCATCCGTCGTGTTGGTAATAGAAAGAAACGATGTGGTATGATTGTCAATGAGTCAACTCACCGGAAGAGACCAAATGACATAAAAGTTAACAACTAAAGGTCACTGTACTCAGGTTATTTTTGCCTGGGAAAAAGAAAAGGGCCATCTATGTCTTGGTTAAAAAAAAAACTTAACATTATGAATGATTCTTAAGTTTTATAAACAGTTAATTTACGGAAAATGACAGTCATACGGTTGTAAATACTCATTGGAGATACTCATACGTAAGACTTGCGTTTTGCTTACACAAGACATAACACACTTCATATATATCAAGGTGAGAGGCTAAGTTGAAAAAAAGAAGATAGCAAAAACATAAAAAAAACGAAATGCACAAAATGTTGTGTTTGAATTACATTTGTATTCGGGAGAGAATTTGAAGTTTAATGGCAAAAACCCAACTGTCAAGCAATGATTGAATAATTGCTAAGCGTGAGACGTTGCCATGGCTATAAAACAAGATTTAACCAACCGTTTTTTTTTCTACGGAAATTGCTTGTATTAAGTCAGGAATATGACAGTTGCTTTTTATTTGTTCTGTTGGCTACGGATGAGCTTTAAAAGGAGCAAGACCGGATCCTTATACAGGATAAGAATCTCCTGCTATGTTTGCTCTTCCCGTCATGTGAATCTTAATTAATCTCATCATAGATGCCAGGCTTAAAGAATTTGTTGCCAAACGCTCGTATCGTCTTCAAAAGATCAATCAATAACGCTCGAATAAAAATAGTTAAAAAGGCAGAAGTTGAAGAACATTAAGGACCTAAAATTCCGAAGGGTTTTGCCAAATACAGCTAATGTAATCTATTCCTAGGGTAGAACATCCTTAGTATTTCGAACGGTTCAAAATTTTGTTCACAATTAATTTATAATTATGATCATAATAATTAAACTAGTTCACACTTAGATAGACCAGAAAAATACAAAGCAGTAAAAATATTAAAAAAACTCATGAATAGTCCTACGATGTTTAAACTTTGGCTTAGGGTTGCACAATTATCAAGTAAAGTTTTAGTTTTTCGCAGTGAAACGCATTAAAGAACTCCAGGTCAAGTTTACGTTCTAATTTGATCTGTTTATTGTCACATTTTTACTGAGTATGGGTTTTATGCCAAGTGAAGTATACATAGATGGAGACTCTTGTCTTGTAGAGCCGTTGTAGGTAATTCAATTCCCTCATCTTTTGTTTTTATCTGGCTATTTATTCATGAACGTTTTAATACACCTGTTGCCTTCAATTAATCTGTATAGTACTGATTTACAAAAAAAGTTAAATAACAAAAATACCGAACTCCAAGGAAAATTCAAAACGGAAAGTCCCTTATCAAATTGCAAAATTAAAAGCTCAAACACACCAAACGAATGGAAAACAAATGTCATATTCTGACTTTGTACAGGCATTTCTTTATGTAAAATGGTGAATTAAACCTGGTTTTAAAGCTAGCTAAATCTCTTACTTGTATGTCAGTCTCATACAATTTCATTATATTGACAACATATGTGATCAAAACAAACAGACATAATAGGTAAAAATGTCAAAAATAGGGATACAGCAGTCAATAGATGATCAGAAAGCTGGAAACATAAATTTTTTTATGATATTTCAATTTTTTCAAAATTCATTAAACGTTCAATTGATAAGAAAGTTAACAGATAATTATAAATAAAAAATGCACATTTTTTGTCGAGAATTTTCTGTATTCTTTTGACATTTTAAAGAACTTATACACCAATGAATGTCTATTCAAATAAATAGTTCTAAAACCACTATAACGTTTGATTCATGCCAGCAGAACGGTACTTGGATCCTGTTATGTTATTTCATTAAAGACTATTCTAATGTTTCATAGGTAGGTTTTGATGCTGGTGATGGGGAACATTATTATGCTGTAAATGGATCTAGAACCTCTGACATTATAAACATTCCTCAGAAATCTAATATTGGAGTTGCAGGGAAATTTATATTTCGTGTTGATTTGTCTTCAGTAGAACAGGCTACAAGTAAGTTTTAAAGAAATTATAGAGCTGTCAGAAGAATCGATTGCATTTTCCTTTATTAGCATATTGGATATGAACATATTTTGCATTTATTCTACATTACCAGGCAAATATTCAAATAATTTAATTTTTGCAATGACGAATTCAAATATTACAATTTGTCCATTGAAAGTCTTGTCTTAATGTTGAACGCATCCCCTGAACTTGAGATAAAGGATACAACAGATACATTTAGGTCTGCCTCATACCTTAAATCACGTCTAGAGAAATTTACAATAAGGATCAGTTGAAAAAAAAACAAATTTACGACAAAAGAGACGATTTCAGCTTTCCAATTGTCAACTTTCCATTTATATGTGGCATGATATCAGCAGCACCTGCATATAGAGAATTTATCTCCCAATTGAAACGATATCCAATGGCTGGTATATCCTATCATGATTTCTTTGATAGAGGGTTGTTGCCGACAAGGAAGCTATTTAACTAAGAGTTCCAAGTGGTGAAGATGAACTCATCTTTACGGACGCCATCGTAAGTTGGTTGGCCGTTATGGAATATCTGTTTCAAAGATGACGACGGATATGTTCCAATTGTCGTAACCACAATCAGGAACTCTTTTCTCCGAATTATAATTAACACAGGGTTTGTACTTCATTGAGCAGCACAATGGATGCTAAATGTACGATCAGGTTTTGTTTACCCTTCTGGAGCACCTGATATCACCCTCCATTTTTGGTGGTGTTCGTGTTGCTAATTTTTCTATGTTGTGTTTTGTGTTCTGTTGTTTGTCTTTTTGTCTTTTTCTTTTTTTTTCTTGGTGTTGTCAGTTTATTTTCGTCTTTCGTTTCTCTTGTCTAGGACTTCTACTTTAATACAAAGTTTAAATTAGTAATTAGTTTGGTGTAAACAATTTCATATGTTTTTAAGTACTTTTGTTAGTATGTTAGTATTTGTTCTTTTTTAAGGTGATAAAATAACCCTTATACTTCATCTTTGTCAACTAAAAAAATCAAAAATAGGTCGTGTGTATGTCATTCTTAATCGATTCAACAACAAAGATTACAAAACGTAGACCAAGGACACTTAGAAAGGAAACAAACTAACAGTTAGATTTTAGAAGCGATCATGATATATTTATTATCATTTTTCATATCAATCTATAAAAATGCTATTTTTTTCAAAGTGGTGAATGAATGTGATAACCAGATATGCCAAAACGAAGGAACTTGAGAAGATTTAGATGGCTTATTGAGATGGCGTTGTAACTGTATACCTGGATATACTGGTGTACATTGTGAAACAGGTATACATTAACAAATTAAGGTGAAGTTGAGTGTGCAACGTATTTGACCTAATGTTTGCAACTACATCGGGCACAGTTATCGCAAATAAAAAAAATGGATACACAGCGCTAAAGCATAATTGCATTTTCATTTCGAAAATTTCTATTCTAAAATAATATTGAACCGAAAGTCATAACGTAAGTAGAAGTTTGACTTCAAAAACGATTTAGAAGAATTACTGGTTCATTCCAAGTTATGCATTGTAAGATACATATATGCAATTGTACTACCATTTTTGAAATACAGATGATTTTAGCTTTTTTAAATTGGTTTTGTTAGAAGTACGTTGTAAGTAAAGCGACCATTGAAATTTCCTACATTACTGAATTGATGAAACCTGGAATAAATATGCGAATGTATCTACTGCATTTGATTGCTTTTAATGTCAGAAAAAACAACAGAATCCTCACGAAAAGGAATATATTGCATAACTTTTCAATTAGAAGCATGCCACATTTACATCCATGAAATTGGTTGGCCGTTATGAAATTTCTGTGTCATAGATGACCACGAATATGTTCATATTGTCAACGCAAAACAACCCTCCTCTTTTATTGGGTTGTAACATTAAAGAATGATGCTTTTCATCGCATTTGCTCTTGACATGGGCAACACGGGGGTGTTTTTGTTAGGGTTCGTGTTACTAAGTTTTATGGTTTGTAGAGTGTTGGTTTTTGGTTTCGTAGTTAGAAGATACGTAGCGTACGTGATCAGATTTTTTTCCCGAATTTTGAAGGTCAGAGCTGCGGTTTTCATCATCTTAGGAAGTAGATGCTACTGGTTTCAATAGCCTTTGGTTAGCAATATCCATAAGTATTGCAACCAATCTGTACTTTGTATAAAAAATCTAAAAAATGTTGGGCCTCTTGAAATAGTCAATTGAGGTTATATAACATGATGGAAAAAAGTTTAGTTCGAATGTAGTGAATTCCTGAGGTTTTGAATAGAGAAAAAAAAATCCAAATATAAACGCGGTGTGATCATCATGTGGAGTGATTAATGGTCGTGACTCCTATTTCGTCAAACAGGGTTGTCAAAAATTTTTGATTTGTAATATCAATACACATGGGACTAGAACAATACCTACATTTTTAATTTTGTTGTTGCATCCGTAATAGATTGGCTGTTCCAAATTCTCGAATCATAAACTCGTTACTTTGTAATTTATAAATATGGGATCTTTTGTTGAATGATAGATTTTGTCTAAAATCCGCCTTTCATAGAAACAGTGGAATGATCAGCTTGATGAAGGTGTTAATAGAGAAATTTATTGTAATCCAGATCATTAATATTAGATAGATGATCATTCATTCTTTCGTTAATTATTTGTCGTGTTTCGCTGACATAGATCAGTTCCCGAAGAGTACACTATATAAGGAAAAGCAAAACAATTCAGATCCTCATGACTACGTGTATTTTAACATTTGATGATCAAGATACTTTGAAAATAAGAATCAGTAATAAATATACTATAAATTTTACAGTTTTTACAATCATATTAGAATATGAAACAATGAAACAAGTTGTCGTTGAAATCTAATATAACTGAAAGTTGAACAGAACCGCGCCGCATGTCTTTAAACTTGTCTGAATTTTTGTAGTACAAAGAAGAGATGTAAAGACTAAACAAAGGATATTTCCATAACAACTTTTAAGATGATCCTAGGTAGACTGTTGATTCGGAGTCATTAAAACATCCGATATGTTTTAAGGTTGAGACAAATATCACTTATTCATACGAAATGTGCGCCAGACGGACGGAATGAAACGCCTGAAATACATAAAGTGTTCCGCTGTACTTTTGATTTCAGAAATTGATGAATGTGCAAGTATGCCCTGTCATCATAATGGGAACTGTTCGGATTTGTTGAATACGTACAGATGTCATTGTAGGGAAGGATTTACTGGAAACAGTTGTCAGATAGGTTTGTAATACATTAACGGTACAAACTTAAACTGAACCAGATGCGCATATCTGCAATTGATGTCTATGGTCATTTTTTTTATTCTTGTCTTTCATATTTGCTTATCAGCTTTGTCTATAGAGTGTCTATATGCTTTTTTGTTTTTCTTTGTTGGAATAGTTGTTTGTTTTTATATTGATTAGGATTATAACACAATGTTGACTGCTGTACCCCAATTTTTGACATTTGTACCTATTATGTCTGTATGTTTTGCTCACACGATTGTTGTCAATATAATGGAATTCTGTGTGACTGTCATACAAGTAAGGGTTTAGCTAGCTATAAAACCAGGTTTAATCCACCATTTTCTACATAAGGAAATGCCTGTACCAAGTCAGGAATATAACAGTTGTTTTCCATTCGTTTGATGTGTATTAGCTTTTGATTTTGCCATTTGATGAAAAGTAACAATAATATCGAACTCCAATGGAAATTCAAAACGTTAAGTCCTTCATCAAAGTACATAAGCAAAAATTAAAGACAAGAATACACAAATGACTATAGCATTATAACACAATGGCGGTATGTTTAAATATCGAGCCACGACAAAAGGATATTGCCAAAAATGGACTAAACGGTAAAGGTTAAAAATATACAAAGAAAAATTAAAGGAACACTATAACAACGTAATTAAGATGATAAACAACGTCAATGCCTAGAATCTACTTCAAGACCATCGTGTATTATTTGTGTATTTTTTGGAAAAAGTCCGAGACGTTCTTTGACATAACCCTGGTTCATCAACTTTCTGTTCAGACACAAGTGACGTTTTATAAAGTCTGAGGAGCAGCTTCAAGCTCTTGAAAACTGAATGAGTTGGGAAATGTATATCCAACATGCAGGTGAATTTGGTATTTTGCTGCTATGGTTGGAGAAATTTAATATTTCAAAATTAAAATCGTCTCGTTTGTCATAGTTTCTGGTACTGAGATTACCGCTTATGTCATATTCGAGGTATCAGTCTAAAAATGAGACGAATATCTTAAATAAGTTGTTTCTTTAATTTATAGTTCTGGAGGATATATTAATGGAACTCAATAAGGACTTTCCGTTTTGAACTTTCCTTGGAATTCGGTATTTTTGTTATTTTACTTTTTCAAAAATATTCGGGACTAATAACTGTTTAAATTCCAAACTTAATAGAACAAATAAAGACCTTTGTCAACCAAAGAGGTCCATGGATAGGCAAAAGCTGGACAAGGATTCAGAGCTATGCTCGATGGAGATAATTCCGCAATTTCAAATGCTTTCCAAAATTGTGTAACATCAAATTTTAATAAAACAATATCCGTATTTTAATGTCATAATCTAGGTTCTAGCTACTGGACTTGTGATACAATGCTACATTGCAAATGGTCTTTTCCATTGATTTTTATAGTTTGTTCTTATATTGTGCTGTAACACCACTGTCCAAGGCTAGGGGAGGGTTGAGCGCTCATACACATGTTTAACCCCGCCACATTCTGTATGTGCCTGTTTCAAGTCAAGAGCCTGTAGTTCAGTAGTTGTCGTTAGTTTATGTCTGTCATACTTGTTTTTCGTAAATTATTTTGTTATAAATTAGGCCGTTAGTTTTCTCAATTGAATTGTTTCATATTTTTCATGTCGGGGCGTTTTATAGCCAACTATACGGTATGGGTTTTTCTCATTGTTGAAGGCCGTACGATTGCCTATATTTGCTTACATCCACTTCATTAGAACTTTGGTGGATAGTTATCATACCACATCTCCTTAGTTTTATATTAATTTTTTATTCATACAGATGAATAATCACATAATTTGTGTTATTTCAAGTAGGACATACATTCTTTGGTTCATTGAGTGCCCTACTTATAAGTATTGATCATTCGTCCGTTTTATTGAAATTAATGGTGTTATTTTCATTGAATAATGTGTTTTATTGAAGATTTTTAAAGAATCAAAAGCGGTTTTTATATTTTTTCATTCTAGATATTGATGAGTGTGTGAGTAATCCATGTATGCATGGAGCAACGTGTAGAGATAAGGCTAATTCTTATATGTGCGACTGTCAACCTGGATATATAGGTGATATCTGTGAAATAGGTAATAGTTATCATTTGAAGTAATCTTAATTGGTTACATGTAAAACGCAACTACAAGTGAGCGTAAAATGTTCCTTTACATAACACGCACTAAGCAATATCGTTTGAAAAGAATACTTTATGTTTAATTTTTCACAGTGTTTTGTGTGTACGCTCTCCGTTCGATCAATGAAGCTTTGCCTTTTTATCCGCTGTAGTTTATAATAAATATAATGTTTAAGCATTTTGCTCTTTGTTGATTACAGTTTCAAGGCATCATGGTAGTAATTTGCAAACACAAAGAGACTTTTTTTCATTGTATATGATTTTGCTGTGATAAGACATCAGACTTCAAAAACTTAATATCATTGTTAAAAAATATTGTGTTCAACCTTGGTAAACGCAGATGCCCGGACAGGTGAGTAGTTTAGTAAGTTGAGTTTTCAAGCGTAGTTGATATTAAGAAATCACTCCAAAATGGAATATGTATATCTTTACTTAACCTTAAGATATTATCCAACTCATAGACCATCGATCTTGTACATTCCGTTACCCTAAAATCTACCCAAATATCTGATCGAAAAACGTTCAAGGCTTTGAAGAACCATTAATAGAAAAGACAGTTACCGGTAGAAACACAACAAACCATGAACAATAAGAATAAAATAGAACAAAATAATAAAATGTTACTGTTGGAAAGACGAACTTCTAAAAAAATCTTTAATTATAATTTCAGACATTAATGAATGTCAGAGCAATCCATGTTACAACAATGCTTCATGTATTGATAACACACCTGGATGGGACTGTGCCTGTTTACCAGGGTATACCGGAAACAGATGTCAGATAGGTAAGTAACAACTCGATTAAGAAAACAATATATACAATGTTTTCAACGAGAAAATAACATTTTCATAGTATTCACACACATATGAAAAGATTTTCTGATGGGCATCTTTGAAAAAAAAACAGCAAAAAATAAAATTACCTCGATTTCTCATATATCAAAGGGATCAATTTAACATCTTAAAAACATGAAGGTTTTTCTTTTTGTCTTTGAAAAGGTTCTATATAAATTCTGCTTTATTTGAGTACAAATACAAGTCGGCAATTAGTGGAGCACAATTAGTACCGATTGGTATGCTAACTTGCAGCTGACATATCATTCTATAAAACTCAACAAATATGTTATCGATTGAAAATTCAAGCATTTTGATGATTTCATCTTCGTTGAATATGTTGTTGTAATCTGCACGGTTCTCCGCAAACTAAGATGCTTCTTGACCTTAAACAAGGAATTTGAATCTACGTTTCCAAGTTTTGTGGAAAAAATTCTGTTTAATGAGATGATGTAGTCGATCTTGCAATTGAGCATGTGGAATAGTATTGTGAAGCGTAGATTTTTATATTACTGCTAAATTATAAAGATTGAGATTAAAGATTAAGGGTAGATTTTGAAAACATTTCAAGAATTAATATCTTGTTAACAACGGTGGTTGAATATACCTCATCTGGATACTTCTGAAGACCATCTTTTACTGTGGAAAGAACGATGGTAAAAAAATTAGAAAGATGTCTAGTCGCATATCTTGACGACTCGGCTATATATTGTTCTTAATAAAGATTTAAGTGAGTTAAGATCACCAGTACAAAGATGGGAGATTTTCATCATCATTGTTTATGTTAATAACAATCGAGAGAAGGACGGATTTGTGATTTTCTAAAAAAAATTCTTTCGTGAATTAATGATGTTCATGTGTATGTCGAATTTCCAGTATGTTGTCAATTCCAAATTCTTTAGTAATACATTCAAAACAATGGTTTTAGTATATAAAATGATATTGTTCAAGGCTTTGTCTGCTGCAGCAACAACACATTTGCCGTGAGGGAGGTTAAAACATTCACAATCTCGTGCTTCTTTGAAAGGGCAGAAAACTGTAAGCTCATTGTACATCGTAGATTTTGAATACGCTTCTGAATAAATGAACGACCAACTTTTATCCATTCAGATAAAGTGCCAAGTTTTGGTTCATCTGGCTCGCATTTACCCGTCATTAACTTGAAGTTTCTTCCAGTTGATAAGCTGTAGATATTTAGTGCATTTGGTTGACTGTTTACTATGCCAATGTCATCATTTATAACATTATCAGCCGGACTATATTTTTATGTGGATAATATACAAGAGTAATGATGAGGTTTATGTTTTACATTCTTGAGTGGTTACGGTCCAATTCAACCTCTTGTTGATGAAAATCTTAGAAGCAATAGGTTAGGTGTAGCTATATGAAATGACAGGTGCAGACTTAAATTTAAAGTAAGAATTTTGATGGAAAATATTGCTTATACTGATGGCATTCAGGTCCGTACATGAAAAAGTACCTTTTGCATAATATTTGGAAGTAGTTGTTACTGGTTTGAATATCTTATGGTTAACAATACCCAAATAATTATTGAACCAATCTGTAGTTGGCAAATTTGTATTAACAACGGAAATGTTTTGGCCTCTCGAAATAGAGAGAATTTATATTAGATTATTTATGGAAAAGAGTTTAATTCGAATATAGTGAATTTTTAAAGGTTGATAAACAGAGATTAACACACCATCTATAGACACGGTGTGAACAGCAAGTGGTGTATATGTTCGATGACCCTGACTCATTTTGCGTCGAAAAGTGGTGTAAAAAGAATTTTGATTTGTTGATATCACAACACCTGGGACTAGACAAAGTACCTACACCATCAATTTTGTCGTTGCATCTGTGAGGGATAGCTGTTCATCAATTCCGAATCCCAAAATCTTCTCAATGTAAGCAATTTGGTGTTCTCAATATGGGATCAAATATTGAATAATACATTTTTCTCTAAAATTCTGACTTTTGTAGAAATAATGGAATTGTCAGTCTTTTGAAAGTGTTTATAGAGAAATTTATAGTTCATCAACATTAGTCCGGTGATTATTCATTCTTTCGTTAAATCGTTGTCGTATTTCATCGACATTGATCAATCTATAAAGAGTACACCTGATACCATACACAGTATGGTATTAGAAGCAGTAAATTACAGACTGATCCTAATGACTACGTGTATTGTAAACTAATATAAAATAAGCAAATAGTTAGAACTTTTAAGGTGTTGTAGAACATTATTTCAAGTTGACATAGTTTTTACTAAGATAAAGTCCCAATAGCCTAATCTTTTTTTTCTAAATCTTTTTGAATGTCATTTCTCCAGATTCATTGTGCTACAATTTTCTGAATAATTAAAAACGGGAAATCCTTTATCAAATGGCAAAATTTAAAGCTCAACACATCAATCGAACGGAAAACAATATTCCTGCCTTGGTACAGGCATTTCATTATGTAAAAAATGGTGTATTAAACCTGGTTTTATAAACCTATAACTTGTTTGACAGTCGCATAGAATTTTATTATATTGACACATTGTGTGAGCAAAATAAACGGACATAAAAGACTTCATGGGTAAAAATGTCAAAAATTGGGGTTCAGCAGTCAGCAATCTTAATCGCTTTAAAAACAAACAACTATTTCAACAAAGAAAAACAAAATGACATATAGACACTCTATAGACAAAGCACATCAGCAAAAATGTAAGACAAGAATACAAAACATGACCATAGCAAAATAACACAGTGGCATTCAAGACCATCATGTATTATTTGTGAAGTTGATACCGAATATTTATCAACAAGGCCGTGGTATCTTCCGATCAACTTATTTTAGAAAAAGAACAAGACGTTTTTTGACATTATCCTGGTTCATCAACTTTCTGCACAGGGACCGGTGACGTTTTATAAAGTCTGAATAGCAGCTGCAAGCTCTTGAACACCGAATGAGTTGGGAAATGTATATCCCATATGCAGGTGGAGTTGGTACATTGCTTCTAAGGTGGGGGATGGGATTTAATATTAAAAAATTAAACTCGTCTCGTTTGTCATAGATTCTGGTACTGCGATGACCGCTTATGTCAAATTCAAGGTATATATCTAAAAATGAGGCGTATATCTTAAATAAGCTATTTTATCTTTCTTTAAAGCTAGCTGTGAACCATATTCTATTTTTTTTATTAAATGGTACAATTTTTTATTAAACAAACAGCGTCCTCCGAAAAAAGTGGCTGCTATCATCATTGGAATTTAAAACGGACTGTCATCTTTTGAGAATCACGAAAAGCCGTGAAAATGAACGTTTGAGTCTGATACAGTTTTTTGGTTTTTAGACATATCATTAAAATTGGCTGCTGGAAAAAAGTGGCTATTATCTTGATAGGCTGCTAAAATTGCCGGCTTTCCTGTTAGCGAAATTCTTATTTAAATTGTTCCAAATACTCCCCACGGTAGTTCTTCCCAAAATGTAAACCCCACTAAATCTGGCTATTTGGAGTATTATTTTCATTATTGTACCTAATGTCTTTAAGGCATATTTTTTTGGCATCAATGACAACTCCGTTTTTTCTAAATTGATTTTTTTTCGTATGTGCAATCAGACGGAAAACCTTATTCAAATCACAATCGTTGATAGAGTTTATACGTTAAAGCTGAATATGCTGTTTCAATAGTCAAAGCATCATGTCCTTTTCTAAAGTTCGAAAATATAGATATCAATTTGAAAATTTAGTTGACATAAATTAAATAAGTTCATTCAACTTTCATTTTGATAACATACTTCGAGCGCCAGTGATGAGTCTTATGTACACGAAACGCGCGTCTAGCGAACAAAATTATAAGACTGGTATCGATAATAATATAATTCACATGAACTTTGTTGGATTTTCATTTGTTAACACCCTTCATCTAAAATCTATAGAAATATAAAAAAAAAAAAACGGAAATGATCAGAACGACCGAAAGCACTTCATTTACCTTTTAAACATTTTGTATTAATCAAAAATCAACTACCACTCGTTAGTATTTTACAAGAAAAAAGTATAATCATGTTTTCTTTGTTGTAGGATATTTAAAAGCTTTTTGTTTCGCTTTTTAAGTCGTCATATTGAAAGTATTTAAAGAAAAGCGTTTCGAACGCACGAAATTAATGTTATTTTCATTGTTTATCGTGTTTTATCAAAACTTTGAAAAGAATCGTAAGAAGTTTTTACATTTCTATTCTAGATATTAATGAGTGTGTGAGTAATCCATGTATGCACGGATCAACATGCAGAGATAAAGCTAATTATTATGTGTGCGACTGTCAGCCAGGCTACATAGGTGATAACTGTCAATTAGGTAATAGCTATCATTGTGAAGCAATATGAATTTGAATACATGTAAATTACAACCAGAGGTAACCTTGCAATATTCTTTGGCAAAACGCTCGAAGCAATTTTGCAGTTGAAAGAACACATGATGTTCAGTTTTGCCTAGTGTTCACTATGAACTACTTGACATACGATAAAAGTATTTGTCAATATTTATCCACTGTAGTATATTAATTGCACAAGCAAGCTCATACAATGGAATAGTCGACGACAAAAAAATATTCAACACCAGGAAAATATTCCTATAGTATTTTGACATCATGCACAAAATAGTTTTGACGTTAAAAGATGTTACGATGTGTCTCAACTTAAAAGGAAATTATTCTTCAATAAGATTTTTACTCCTTTTTCTCCTTGCTGATTTAAGGTTTATGTCTTATGATAGTAATCATCAGCCCCCATAAGACTTTTATATGTGCAGGAGATGCGATTGGGATGCTGAAGTGCGAACGGGATACTGATGTGCGATAACCATTTCGGTAGCGGTGATATGTTATGTGTATGGTTGAAATTAAGAATCGTTAAAATAATTTTTATCCCACAATAACCTTGTTTAACATAAATTTAGATATAATATGATTATCGTATACTGATTGAATAGTATCTGTGAGAACCCTGCTAATATCATAGTTCCAGCTTTACCCTTTGTAATGTACATGTTCTGTAAAGACATTCGCAACTTTTAAAATACAAGAATATATTTCATGTATGTCCTTAGTTACAATTTCATTCTAAATGAGAGATGATCGGCCGCTTAAATTTTGCTGCATGTGGAAATAGATATGCGTTTACTGCTCTACGCTAATCGTAAAAAGATAATACGGAGAGTCTATCTTTGGACTTGAAAAATTAAACACTCTATCGTGCGCAAAAAAACCCGATAGATTTCGAAAGCAAAAGGAACCGATAAAGTAGACTAAATGTTCCCTCTCTATCAAATACTCTCCTTTTCCTGAAGTATTAAAAGTTAATTAACCCTTATTAAATTCTTTCCATTTAGAATATGCATGAAATAAATGCAACTGGCATTTGATCATAAGACATCTATCAATCTATTGATCTTTTTGTTACATATTTATGAGAGTTGTGTTTTCAATGTCGCTTTGTCTTGTGTTTGAGATGGTGATTCTTGATAGGACGATAATATAATGGCTATTAAAGGATATATTTCGTGTCCCTACCATATATTTAATGTTTTCTGTAATTGCAGTAAATTAAGGTAACAGAAGTATACCGCTGTTCAATAGTCATAAATCGATTAAGCGAAAACAAATCCTGGTCACAAACCAAAACCGAGGGAAACACATCAACTATAAGAGGAAAACAACAGAACAACAGAAACACTGAACTGTAAAATCCATCTACGATGATTTTTCTTATTCTTTGCTCTCGTTCAAAGTACCCGAAAAAATTGTTGTTTATTTATTTTTTTTCAGAATAAAATTTGCATTTCAAACAATAAAAAATAGACAAAAGAGACCAATATCGATATTCAAACCCATAAGTCGAAACAAACTGAAAAGTCGTCGTGGGTATCAACAAGATCGAATCGCAATTCCACCATTGCTTCAACGTTACCAAAACGAATTGTAGCGTCAAATCATTGCATGTCATCGCGAACATCGCGGTTCGGAGTACCATCGCTGTTCAGAGTCCTACACATGTAAGTGCATATTGCTGTAGTTTGACACTACTCTTTAGTAAATTTCGTTATTGCTGTACTACATTTTGTTCAACCTTGGGTTAACTCAGGTGCTCCGGAGAAATAAGCAGTTCCTGCCCTATATCAAACACACGCCACATCACTCCTAATGACGATTGGCTATCCAGCGTATCTGATGATAAGGAATCACGCAAAAATATATATATATCTCGTATCTTACCTTTAGACCTTATCCAACTAATAAACCATCGGTCATATCAATTGGAATACCCTAAATTCGAACAGACGTCAAAATATTTAATTAGAAAAAATTTCCAGGTTTTCAAGAACCAATTTAAACAAGACCGTTACCAGTAGAAACACCACAGACAACAGAAAGGAAAACAAATAAAACAATTTATGGCAACTGTTGGAAAGACGAACATCTAAAGAATCTCAAATTATAATTTCAGACATTAATGAATGTCAGAGCAATCCATGTTACAACAATGCTTCATGTATTGATAAAACGCCTGGATGGGACTGTGCCTGTTTACCAGGGTATACCGGAAACAGATGTCAGACAGATTAGTATCAATTAGAATAAAATTGTCCACTAACAAATAAAAAGTTTTGGTATGACTGCCAATGAGATAACCCTCCCCAACAGACCAAATGACACAGAAATTAACAAATATTGGTCACCGTACGACCTTCAACAATGAGCAAATCCCATACCGCTTAGTTAGCCATAAAAGGCCCCGAAATAACAAATGTAAAACAATTCAAACGAGAAAACTAAGGCCTGATTTATGTACAAAATAATGAACGAAAAAAGAATTTGATATGAAGTAACAAACGACAACCACTGAATTACAGGCTCCTGACTTGGGACAGGCACATACAGAATGTGGCGTAGTAAAACATGTTTGCGGGCGCCCAACCCTCCCCCTAACATGGGACAGTGGTGTCACAGTACAGTTATAGTTGAAAAGGGCTCAACACATCAGATAGATACAAAGCACAAACACAAATAACAAAAACACGGATAGGACGTGGCAGGGTACTTAAACATCCTCACAACAAAAAGACACTAAGTACAGATCTGAGAGTACTCTCAGTTACTGACAGCTAGTTCAAGACAATTACAACTAAAGAAAAAAAAATCCTGCATCTAAGACTAAAATATCAATCAGTATACATCCAACATCCAATGGATTTAGTATCAAGACGTCATTAACAGTCAGAGAAAAACGTAATATTGTGCAATGCCAAGATACAGGAATCGACAGATTGTAGAGCCATGAATATGCATATGTATATGAAAATAATATTTAGTTTGATTTTAATTTGCTGATAACAAAATCAATATCAATACCAATTACAAACCTGTTCGTGCATTTTTCATTGTTATTCAGCGCAAAATAATTATCTAAGATACCAGAGACGATCTCATTTCATAATGAATCTCTTTTGTTTACTTATTGTACCTCGAACTTATTAACCCGGTGTAGGTTTTTAAGTTGAGGTTCAATTTACTAAAAGTTAATTTGGCATGACTAATTAGACACACCCTCTTTGAATTAGGGGGTCCAAGATAGGATCGAAAAAAAAACAGCCAGCGAAAGTGCTTTTGGTTGATTATCTCCGACCAATAATCAGACGATATTTGAGTGGAAATACAAACCTGTCCGAAACCGGGAAATGTTGGCTGCAATAGGAATTTATGTACAAATACGTCCATATCTCATTTACTTATAGTGGCCGTTATTGATTGTAAATACATGTCGATTTGTTTTTGGTATTTTTTGGTAAAGTGGTGAGAAAAAAGGGGGGGAAAGAGGGTTAATAGCTCAACTGACGATTTTGATCATGGTTCAACTTTATTCTAGGACGGCATACGTTTTACCTCTAGCCAACGCTCTATCTTATTAAAGTGTCACTCTAAAATTGTTATCATTTGCTTCAGGTCGATCCACTTTGCATCTCGTCGTGAATATGCATGCCATATGTGCCACTGGACATTAGGGAGCAATCAATTAATCAGCTTCATTTAGTGATGTCCCCGTTCTCAGCGGAAAGCGCTATATGTGGTCCTACCAAATCTCGTTTTTTTTCAACTTTGGAATCATGGATAGAAATGTTATTATCAAACAGATAGATGTTAATTAATATCCTTGAGTGTTTGATTAATTATCGGTTTGTTGAAAATAAAATGAGCCAACTTAGTGCGGTAGTTTCTTATTAAAAACTTCATTTTCAACATTTAGAAAATGAAATAAAATCTTATAAAAGTATACTTACATAAACATTATATATTCAATACTTATTTGTTTAAAAAGATCGTGATTGCAACTTTTCCTACAATTTTAATCTATAACATGTATATGTCAAACATACGTGTTGTTTTTAACATGTATTTTAACGGATCCGACTAAAATGACAACCTTTGTCAATCCACACCATAATCCTAGGTAGAATTACCATCAAGATCTTACGCAGTATTGGAGAAGAGGAACTAAGTTGAAAAACTTGTGTCTAATCCATTTGTTTTGTACAATAAAATATTTTTAAACTAGTATTGAAGATATTCGAAATTCAAGAAATGGCATAATATTAATGTTTTCTCTTTTTATTTTCAAAATTGAGAGTAAAATTTGCTAAACTAAACATATTTAACCCCGCCGCATTTTTGCGCCTGTCCCAAGTCAGGAGCCTCTGGCCTTTGTTAGTCTTGTATGTTTTTTTTTTTAATTTTAGTTCATTTATATGTTTCGGAGTTTAGTGTGACTGCCATTTTTTCACTGAACTAGTACACCTTTTTGTTTAGGGCTAGCTGAAGCCCGCGTGATTTTCTCGGTGTTTTGAAGACCCATTGGTGGCCTTGGGCTGTTTTCTGCTCTTTGGTTTTTTTTTTATCTACAGAATTCCCGTTCAATTTTAAAACAAAAACTCTTATTTTTTAAAATTTGTAAAACGTAAAATACACACTACATTGTACATCAAGACATAATGGATAATTATTATATATAATAAGCTCAAAACCGCCCATGACTAAAAAATACGGAGTTAATTCAATATTATTTACCGTCAAAGATATCCCAACAGGCACAAGTGTTTGGTTAAAAAATATCACCTGCCCTTTTTAAATTTCGATCGGTGGCAATTAAAGAAGGAGTAATATAAACCAGTAGAAGAAAAACACTTCACTGTTTAGTAACGGTAAAATAAATGATGATAATGGATAACGTCCAGCGGCAAATTAAACGCATATTCAGGACGAAAACATGTAAATGTAATATGAATATTAACCCTGCTTTGTACAAGACCGACACGCTGAGCCGGATTTTTAACGTGTAAGTTCACAAGCTAAGAGTTCACAGGAAGAAAAGTCACCCTTCCAGGACACATTACAACTCCGAGCCGACCAGTCCGTGCTCTTTCTCTTTAATGCCGCGTGTTAAGCGTTGAAACAGCAAATACCAATTTTAACATCTTTGTTTGACCCGGTCGGGATTCGCACCAACGACCTTCCGCTCTCGAGGCTAAACACTCCTACGAGACCAACAACGAGAGCGGAAGTATATAATATCATAACAAAAACTCAAGTACAATAAATAATACATTTTCAAAGAACTATAACAGTTACTAAAGCGAGCTAAAAAAGAGGGACGAAAGATACCAGAGGGACAGTCAAACTCATAGATCGAAAACAAACTGACAACGTCATGGCCAAAAATAAAAAGACAAACAGACAAATAATAGTACAGATGACACAACATAGAAAACTAAAGACTAAGCAACACGAACCCCACCAAAAACTGGGGGTGATCTCAGGTGCTCCGGAAGGGTAAGCAGATCCTGCTCCACATGTGGCACCCGTCGAGTTGCTTATGTTATTACAAATCCGGTAAATAGTCTAATTCGGTAAGTCACATTCGTGAAAAGGGAAGGGTATTGTAGTTACGACATAAGGAACATATCCGATATCATCTGTAAAAGTATCTTACCTAAAATAGATGCCTTAAATGATATTGGAAACTACACTTAAATACTGATGGCCGACTTCAGAGTAGATTTCATGGATCAACGCTCTCTGCAAATTAAAAACCTCGTCAAAAGCCAATAATTGTTAATTATAATATACGATTATGTCAGGCGATTATAAAACTAAGAAGTGTAAAAGTTTTTTTCAAGGTGTTTATGCTTCATTTAGACTTGAAAAGGGAATGGTGGACGACTAAAAAAAAGTGATTGTTTCATATAATACATTGTATTTCAATTTATGAAAGATAATCAACCTTGTGAAAATATCTCATCTATACACGTTTTGATCGAGCCCCTCAAGCCTACATAACTTGATGCTAAAGATGTTACATTTAGGCTATTTAATATGATTTTTTTTTCATTGAAGTATTTAATTGGACTGAACAGACAACACTAATTATTTTGCATTTGCATGTAACGTAGTGTAGGAAAATTACAGAATCAAAACCAAAATGAATATTTACTTGAATACTGTGCATGTTCAATGAAAAAAAATCATATTAAATAGCCTAAATGTAACATCTTTAGCATCAGGGTCTGTTCGATTAGAAGTTTTGAAACAAGCTACTAGTATTTAAATAACTAATTGTTGGAAGAGTTTACTTGCTGTTTTCATATGGTCTGGTCTTTACGAATCTATTTTATGATTACTGACAGATTAAAAACATCAAATATATATATAACAAGAAGTTTTTGTATAGAACATTCATTGGTCAATTACAAATGAGGTCTATATAGGGTTTTGATTTACTCATTTATAAATTGAAATTTAAAAATATAAATCTACCCCTTAATTTTATAAAACTACCCTACAATCGGTCCGTTTCCAATGCAATTTGGTAACTGTTACTTGTATATATCAGTCTTGAGTACTGCTTAACTATCATTTAAGTTGAATATATTTAGACTCGTCCAATTCAGGGGATATAGGCTTCTGCAAGTGTTTTTTTACTTACTTTTCTTATGTTTTTTATGGTTTGTAAGTCAGTAAAAGTTCAGTGATTAATGTTATATATTGACATTAAAAGACCTTCTCACAAAAAGGGCTGTTCAAATCCCCTCGCCCTTCGGGTTCGGGGATCTCAACATTCCTTTTTATTTGAAGGTCTTTTAATGTCAATATTAACTTATCATTGAACTTTTACTATTACTAAAAACAATATTCAAAGATCTAGTTACAGTGTAGAATTGGTACCCTTTTAGAATAAGTTTATTTAAGGGATCGATAAGTTTACCCGGATCGTTTCTAGATTACTGGGCTCAACATCTCCGTAAAAATTAGGATGTGCTATCCCGTTTGAAATAAGTTTTCTACAGGTACAACTAAACTTCAAAACCAAATCTTTATATATATAGAAGAATTTATTAAAGGTCTCAAGTAATTTGTGGTGGTAACGAAATGCAAATTAGACTGGTCTTTACTGAGTTTTCTAAAATGAACAGATTTTCAAACGGCCATCTTCCTAAAATAACAATTAAGAATTAAATAACTCGATTGTTCATACATCGAAGGGATAGAAATATATTATGTCTCTTAGTATAAATTCTTATAAGCACGTTGATGTTCGTTTTTTTCTTTGTGAAGATTCTGTATGATTTCTGCATCATATGAATGCAAATAGAAGTCGTCCTAAAGTGATGCATAATTAGTAATTGAAATACCGAGTGTCTGCTGACATATCATTCCACCAAAACTCAACATATATTTTGCCGATCTAAAGTCTAGCATTTTAATGATTCCATCTTCAGTGTATTTGATTTCGGAATCAATGCGGTTCTTCACAAAGTCATAATTTTCATGACATAAAGCAAGGATTTTGTATCTCCGTTTTCCAATTTGTAGAAAAAGCTTCTTTGAGATGATGTAGTCGATCTTGTAATTTAGCATGGGGAATAGTAATGTGAAGCATAGAAAGATCTAAGGTTTCGATATAACTGCAAAATTTTGAACATTAAGATATAAGATACGGAGTAGATACTTAGAATTTTAAAAAATCCACATCTTGTTGACATCGTCGGTTAAAAATACCCTATTACACAACATTTCTGTGGGCCATTTTAGTGTGGTAAGAATTTTGGTAATAGCGCAAGAAAGATGTTCAGTCGATCATCATGACGACCCGACTATATACCTAATATATAAAGGTTTATAAACAGACGATAACAAACCATTATAGACACGGTGTGAGCAGTAGGTGGTGTAGTGTTCTATTACCGTGACTCCTTTTTCGTCGAACTAAGGTATAAATAATTTTAATTTGTTGATTTCACTACACCGGGGACTATACAAAATACCTTCACCATCAATGTTGTCCTTGCTTCCGTAAGGGAAAGCTGTTCCCAATTCTCGAATCCATAAATCGTCTTTGTGTAAGCGACTTGGTATTCTTTATGTTGGATCATTTGTTGAATGATATTTTCCTTACTGTCATAAATTGAATTGACAGGCTGCTAAAAGTGTTTGTAGAGAAACCGATTGTTCTCAGGGTCATTACAGTTAGACCGGTGATCATTCATTCTCTCGTTAAGTGTTTGCCGTTTTTCACTGAAACAGATCCGTCCACAAAGAGTACACTGAGTACCGTACACATATTAGACTCAGTACAATTCAGATTCTCAAGACTACGTGTATTTAAACATTTGGTGGTTAAGATACATTAAAAACAGTTATCAGCAATGAGTATACTATTTGTGTCTTTGACAACATCTGATATCTTTTAATTTTGAACAAACTATCACTTATCCTTTAAGAAATATTTTGTCCATTAATAATGTGCTGCGGACGCACGAAAAATATTATCCATAAAAAAATGTACTTTGGACGCACAAAATATGTTAAGTGTTAGGTTCATTTATTCTCCAGAGGCTATTAGCCTCAAGCTGTACTTTCTATTTCAGACATTAATGAATGTGCAAGTACGCCCTGTCATCATAATGGGAAATGTTTGGATTTGATAAATGCGTACAGATGCCATTGTAGGCAAGGATTTGCAGGAAAAAGCTGTCAGATAGGTTTGTTATACATTAACGGTTCAATTTTTACTCCACCAGATGCATATTCTAAAATAATGTCTCTTCAGTAATGATCGGGGCCAAGATATTTAAAAGTACATAATCCAATATAAACGTATTAGATTGCTGGAGCTGTTAAATAAAAAAGGACAAAAAAAAACCAATTGTGACAAGGAATCGCAGCTATGCATGATTGAGATAATTCTTTAATTTGGAATACTTTCCAAAATTGTATTACAGCAGATTTAATTAAACAATCATATTGCTATTTTCATGCCATGATGTGGATTCATTTATTTTTAAGGTAATACATTTTCTTGGATGCAGGAACAGGGTTAATATCGTGCATATTTGATTTCATTGTTTTGCAAAAGTCTGCATACAAGCATATAGAAAAATGTCTATTCGTTGAACTATAAATTTGTGTCCTTCTTATCCCCATGAATTCACCAAAATTGGTTTCAAAGGAGTGGTAATGCATCCACAGTAACAGAAGTGCAAGGTACTAGGCTTGTGATACAATGATACAATGATACATTGCAAATGATCTTTATGATTGATTCATGAAGATAAATAATCATATAAGTTTTAGTATTTCAAGTAGGTCATGCATTCAATGATCAAAGTCTGAAAATTAAACCCAACAGTGTTAGAATAACATGTTTATGCTGACAAATTTTTGTCCCTCAACGGGATTTGAACGCACACCTTTGATACACTACAGCACCAATCGCTTAGCCTCATGTTCAGTGCTCTAGACCACTAGACCACATCCGCTATATATATACATGAAATGCATAGAAAATCTACATAACAATGTTAAAGTAATCTGATTCTTTTATTTCCTCCCCAACCGGGGCTGGAACCTGTACTTTTACTTCTCATTACTACGGCAACACCGCCTTGCACGTCTTATCCCCTCCTTTAACTATTGCTGATGAAAAATCAGCTCTTGTTTCGGGAGGTGTTTCCGTCGCATAGGTATTAGAAAAGGACATGTCTGCCTATGTGAAGTGACAACTGTAAACTATACCTTGTCCATCGTATTTCTTATGATGAAGAAATATCCGGTGTTAGATATATATCTATAAACGCCTAAAAAGTGTACAAATATTGGTGTCGTTTTGTACACTTTGTAGGCGTTAATATAATTTATTTATTGTGTACATGTATCGTAATCGTAACGATCCATCGCCCTCGTAAGAAAGATCGTTGACTAATATCTAGACGTTATATATATATATATATATATATATATATATATATATATATATATATATATAAAAGAGGGACGAAAGATACCAGAGGGACAGTCAAACTCATAGATCGAAAAACAAACTGACAACGCCATGGCCAAAAATAAAAAGACAAACAGACAAATAATGGTGCAGATGACACAACATAGAAAACTAAAGACTAAGCAACACGAACCCCACCAAAAACTGGGGGTGATCTCAGGTGCTCCGGAAGGGTAAGCAGATCCTGCTCCACATGTGGCACCCATCTTGTTGGGTTAGAACTGCGTGTTGGGTTATAAACTGCGTGGAAATACATTCATAATGAACAGCACTGACCGATTTGAGCTTGTATAATACTTAAATTTCAAATTTGACGACGGTAAAGTAATTACAACAGAGGCTGCGTATTTACACATCCCATTGATCCCATTTGGGCCAAAGTTTTTAATTTTTTTATCCAAAATCTTTCCCGAGCGAGTCTATCCTCCCTAGAACAAGCAGTGTTGTGGTCTATGCTTGTAATGGTCAGTCGATTGAAATCTGCCTTAGTATGGCCTGGGGATCTCAAATGTCGACTGAGAGGAATGTCTGGCTTGCATACATAGTCGCTACGATGGTCGTTCATACGTTTGTGAAATGGCTGTTCTGACTCGCCAACATACTGTTTACCACATTTACACTGTAGAAGATACACAGCATTTGTAGTCTTATATAAAGATAAAGATGAAAATTGCAGTAAAATTGTATTCATATAAATTACAAAAAGTAATTTTCACAATGTTTCTTCAATAGTTCATTCAACCGTCGTTTTGATAAGATACTTCACAATAGTTTCACTGGATTCTCATATTTAATCTCCTTCCTTCCTTCTTTAAGTGTAAAGAAATATAAAACTATGTAATTATCATAACGATGGAAAGCAATACATTTACCTTTTAATTTCAATTTTAATTTTGTGTATTTTATGAGTCAAAAGTAAAATCATGTTTTCTTTGCTGTATTATGCTTAAAATCATTTTGTTTCGGTTTGAACATTCCTGGTGAAGTTAATGACAGAGAAGCACTTCGAAAACACGGAATTTATAGTTTTATTTTCATTTTGTATTGTGTTTTATTAAAGATATTAAAAAAATAATAAGATGTTTTTATATTTTTATTCTAGATATAAATGAGTGTGGGAGTAATCCATGTATGCACGGAGCAACATGTAGAGATAAGGCTAATTCCTATGTATGCAATTGTCAGCCTGGATATATAGGTGATAACTGTCAAATAGGTAAAAGTTATCATTTCGAAGTAATCTTTAAAACGCAACCACAAGTGAGCGTACAATATTCATTTGAAAAACACTCAAAACAATATCGCTGGTAAACAGAACATGTAATGTTTAGATTTGCATAGTGTTTAGTATGCACGCTTTGGCATACGATAAAGGGATTTATGCAGTTGTGTCCACTATAGTTCATTTAGTGCGATAATCAGCTCATACAATGGGATATTGTACGAGAAATAATATTCAACAACACCAGTTATGTATATATGTATAGGTCTATATTATTTTTGACATCATGCTCAAAATAGTTATGATGGTGATAGATATCAATATTTGTCTCAATTTAATATGAAAATGATGTTAAATTATAATGTTGAAGCGTTTTTTGTTCCGTGCTAATGACAGGTTAATGACATCATAGTAGTAAAAATCCATCTCAATAAGACTTATTTCTTTGTGTATATATGTGATTCAATATCTTTTCCCGTTCCCCTTTTCCCAAATGTGACCTACCGAATTAGACGTATTACCCGGTTTGTGCTAACATGAACAAAACGACGAATGCCACATGTGGAGCAGGATCTGCTTACCCTTCCGGACCACCTGAGATCACCTGGGGTTCTTGTTGCTCAGTCTTTAGTTTTCTATGTTGTGTTTTGTGTACTGTTGTTTGTCTGTTTGTCTGTTGGTCTTTTTTCTTTTTTAGCCATGGCGTTGTCAGTTTATTTTCTACTTATGAATTTGAATGTCCCTCTGGTATCTTTCGCCTCTCTTTCATTATTTTTAAATTGTATTTTGTGCAAATTTTGGTTTACTCAGGTGCTCCGGAGAGATAAGTTTTTCCTGCTCTACATCAGACATTCGCTATATCACTCCTAATAAAGTTAGATTTTAAATCGTATTTGATGATAAAGGATTAACGCAAAAATGGAATGGATATATCTCTTACCTAAGATTTTCAAGAACAAATTTTACCTGAAGAAACACCACAGACATCAAAACGTAAGTAAGGAAAAACAATAATAAAGGCTACTGTTGTGAAGATGAACATCTAAAAAAAATCAGATATTTTGTTTTTCAGATATTGATGAATGTCAGAGCAATCCATGTTACAATAATGCTTCATGTATTGATAAAACACCCGGATGGGACTGTGCCTGTTTATCTGGGTATACCGGAATCAGATGTCAGACAGGTTAGTAGGAATAAGAAAAAAAATCTTTAACGTTTTCCACTCGCAAATAATATTTTCATACCATTCACATATGAATATATTTAAAATGAGCATTTTTCTAAAGTAATTGTAAAGAATAAATTTATTCGATCGCTCATATATCATTTTCTTAGTTAACAATCTTTTTTTTTTTGTAAACATGCAATTGTTTTTGCTTTGTTTGATACAAATGATTTAAACATTATCAATTTTCAGAGATAGACGAATGTCAAAGTAATCCCTGTAGAAGTAATGGAACATGTGTGGATCTTCCTGATGGTTATCAATGTATTTGTTCAAATGAATCATTCGGACAGCATTGTGAAAAATGTAAGTTCATAAGTCATTTATTCACCCTGAGTCGTATTGATATATAATGCTATAATCTTACATCGTATCTAATGGGAATAAACTCATCATACTATACTATCAAATTTATATAAATTTGACATTTAATTCAATTTGAAGCAAACATAAAATATGGAAAACAGAATGTAGTTATAGAAAAGTCCTTGACCTTGAAATGAGAAAATTATTCTTTCATGGAAAAGGCAAAGTCAATCATTTCAACTGTAAATGATTTTCTGGCGATGAAAGTCAATATAGTGCAATTCTTTGCGACTGTCATACAAGTGAGAGGTTAAGCTAGCTATAAAACTAGGTTATATCCATCATTTTTTACATAAGGAAATGCCTGTAACAAGTCAGGAATATGACAGTTGTAGATCATTCGTTAGATGTGTTTGAGCTTTTGATTTTGCCATTTTATTAAATATTAAATTTAAATGTGACGTCACATTGTGCGTCGATTTCTTCGGCTAACATATAATACGTTGTTCGGCTGTGCCATTTTTATGTGCTGATTTAGGTTGTTTTATGTATTCGTTTTTATTTTGTAGTTAGTCACCACATCGGTGTTAACATTTATATCTATTATATAGTCATTTTTATAAATTTACTGTTTGCAAAAGTATGAATTATTCTAAATACTAATGATTTTCTTATCCCAGGCATATAACCTTAGCCGTATTTGGCACAACTTTTTGGAACTTTTGGTTATCAATGCTCTTCAACTTTGTACTTGTTTTGGCTTTCGAACTTTTTTATCTGAGCGTCACTGATGGGTCTTATGTAGACGAAACGCGCGTCTGGCGTATTAAATTATAAGCCTTGTACCTTTTGGTAGCTATTATTTGTGTGTGTGTCTGTCCTGTATGTTCTCCCATTTATTTGTATTGTAGTTCTGTCATGTAATCTTGTCATTTTAATGTTATATTTAACATTGACATAAAAGCGGGAGGTTTAGCTAGCCACAAAACCAGGTTCAACCCACCATTTTTCTTAAAATGTCCTGTACCAAGTCAGGAAAATGGCCATTGTTATATTATAGTTCGTTTCTGTGTGTGTTGCATTTTAGTGTTGAGTTTCTTTTGTGTCGTTGTTCTCCTCTTATATTTGATGTGTTTCCCTCAGTTTTAGTTTGAAACCCGGATTTGTTCTTTTCTCAATCGATTTATGAATTTCGAATAGCGGTATACTACTGCTGACTTTATTTATAAAGGACTTTCCGTTTTGAATTTCCCTTGGAGTTCGGTATTTTCGTTATTTTACTTTTTTAGGGGACAAAATTGCTCCCGTACAAACGAGCAATGACCCGAAAGGAATTGCTAAAACATGAATTTAAGTAGTAGTCGTAGATGATGGTAGGGCGTTATAAATAGAACGAAAAGAGTATTGCGTCACAAATGGCTATAAACTGGCAGGAATTAACAGGATGTTAATGGGACAAGAATCTGTTTGTATATTTTGAAATGAGTGTATACTAAACGAGCTGGTTTTGTACAATTCAAATTTCTGTATATTGTTTATTGAAAGGGATAAATCGTTGTTCATCAAGTCCTTGTCTGCATAATGGCATGTGTACAAATCAATATGGCGGATTCACATGTAAATGTTTAGAATCTTGGCATGGCGAAAGATGTGAATTTAAAGAAATTAATAAAACCCAGGTAATAAAACGGTACATTAAAGTATTTTGTTTTTAGAAATATCTAGATATTTTTAAGACTGGATTCATTTGCAAACTTTTTTGTCCGGTTTAATGCAACGTTAACTTAAAACAAATAATAAAATTTCCGTGCCCAAAAAATTATTTATAGAATAATCTTTAGAAAATAGGCAAAAGCTAGGAAGGGACCATTCAAAACAAATAAGGCAAAGAAAAACTGACAACGCCATGGCAACCCCCCCCCCCCCCCCCCCCCCCAAAAAAAAAAAACAAAATAAACAAACCAACGACGAAAAGACGAACACGCCCAAATAAGCTTACATAGAAAACTAAAGATTTAGCAACATCGACCCAATGAATGTTACATAGAAAACTAAAGATTTAGCAACATCGACCCAATGAATGGGATGAGCTCAGATGCTCCAATAAAAGTTATATGGAAACACATTTAGAAAGACTGAGATATAAAACAGCTGTTATCACAGGATAATTTTACCCGTTGCACTCGCAATCTAGTTAGTTTTTGTAGCATTGCATATTAATATGAACTGGAAATTTTCAAACAAAGTGAATTATTTAAATCTTATAAGGAGCGAAGCACTTGCTACAGGGAAAAAATTCACGACATTTAATAATTGATATTAAAAATATGTATACGTACGGTGGACTATATCTAACTTTGTTAAGCATCTTTATCCCTGAAATGTTTTTTTTCTGGATTTTTCATTATAAAGTTGTAGATTAAAAGCCACATTACAGAGCATGCATCTATATTATATATGAGCGTGACAAAATTGTTTATAAAAATATTGATATAAGGTTTGACTTATGCCTCTCCGATACCTAAAGTCCTAGTTCCCAATAAGCCACCCTATCTCGCCTTACCTGCAAACATTGTTTTGACTCTGAACCATTTAACACTAAAAATTAAAAACGAAGCAGAAAGTCCTTTGGATGAATATATATATGGTCTGTTATGGCTATCATGTTATGAGACATTTATTTAGTTTCCAACCATTCCGTTGGAAAGGTTTACAATATATCCAGTGTAAAATATAATTACAACAATCGTAACATTCCTAAAAAAAAGCCGTTATAATCACAAAATCATTTGGGTAATGACATTTACAGAAGTAAAACATTTATAGAAATAAGACAATTGACATCTCAGAACTCAGACGTGCGTGTCTTCTTCATAATACTCGGCGCTCAAATAAAAAAAATTGGATGCCAAATTAAATACTAAATAATTACATTACATGTATGTTTCATTATAATACGTTATTTTGATTGACTACCAGCAATCTCGCGACTTTCTGAAATTAACCTTGATATCAAAATGAAATGTAACATTCATGATAACACGAGCTTCCACAATAAAGTGCACAGGTAAATAAAAGAAAAACTTGATAGAAATTTTATTTTTAATAACCCTAGCAAAAAAATGTAATTATAAGTATTGAATGCTTCTTTTAGTAATTTTATAGGGGTGTAAAAGCGTTGACCATGCACACATTTCTAGAATGAAGCGCTTCCGCGCTTCATACAAAATGTACTTCGGTCAACGCTTTTACGCCCCAAAAATTTACAAAGAGAAGCATTAAATTCTTAAGTATAGATGAAGATTATTGGAAACAAAATAAATTCAAACGTTGTGACAAATACGGCTGCGGCCAGCTATGCCTGATGATGACAAACCTTAGCGTTTTGGATTATTCAATTTATTATCAACAGAAAATTTACAAAAACATTACCATATCATCGATATTTTATGTTAACACAGAAGTGATACACTCGCGGACGAAATATCCTGAAACTATTGATATGTTTTTCTTATAAATAAATTCTCGTATTATGTCATATGTACTTAATGTTATTCATTTATTATGTCTTACAGCTGTGTACTGATCTGGAATATACCGAATGCTCCTGCTTTACTCATCAGCTGAAACCAAAACCAAAATCAAACAAATTATTAATTGGTAGCATAGGTTCTATTATAGGATTGTGTATGACTATTATTTGTTACACAACATGGATGTTATTAAATGCAACGAATAATAAAGGTAATCGGATTGTTCCAGAGAAGACGGAAATATTAAACAATGACCAATCAATAAATATTGAAAATATGTTAAGAGACAAAGATAAAAGTAAAACACCAGTAAGCAGTGCCAGGAAAAACGGAAAGTGTCAAAAGAAACATCATAACTGTTTTACCGATCATAGTGGATTCGATTTTTCCAAACTATATTTTAATAAAGATGGCAGCAGAAGAATAATCAAATGCCGACATCAGAGAGATTCCTAACAAATATATAGACTTATTTAAGCTAGAATATATTCAAATTTTGTTTTATGAATAGACAATTCGGAAAAAATAAAGACTTGCAAAACGCAGTATTTTTGTTTGTGTCCTTCGGACGCTCTTGATATCACTCTCGTTTTAGTGGGATTTGTATTGCTAAGTCATTAGCTTTCTATGTAATATTTTGTAGACTGTTGCTTGTCTTTTCCCCGTTTGTCACATTTTTTTCCCATAATAATGTAGGTTTGTCTTCAATAATAAATAGGTCTCTAAATAATATGCAATACGTCAAACTCTTGAACTCCGAGGGTCTAAAACAGTAGAGACTAAAATAAAAAAGATTACGAAAGGTTAACATCAAAGTTTTCAAACAAAAGAAAACATAGCATTGAATTCTTTTCAATAGTTAAATAAAATGACCAATTTTTCCTGATGTCAAAACTGTTTAGTAAGGAGGTATAACATTGAATGAAACATTGCAAACGCATGCTTCTTGGACCTAAGGAGAAATAAGAACGTTCCAAATTCAAATCGCATCCCCCCTCTTCCCCTCCCCGTTGCAAAAAAAAAGTCGTCCCGCTGAATATGTTTTGGTATGAAAATTATCATACGCAACTGTTATAATGAGGGCTTAAAAGGGTTAAACGGGTTGTTTGGCGAGAATACGCTAAGATGGATAAATGTTGCATATTGAGGAAATTTACAGACATTGTATAGTCTTAACATTTTCATCTAGAAATTGACAATAAGGGTCGGTTGAAAACAAAACTTTACGACAAAAGAGATGATTTCAGCTTCCCAATTGTGAACTTTCCATTTCTATGTAGCAACATTCCAGCAGCGCCTGCATACGGAGTATATATCTCCCAATTGATACGATATTCCCGGGCTTGTGTTTCCTATCATGATTTCCTTGATAGAGGATTGCTGCTCACAAGGAAGCTATTAAACCAAGAGTTCCAAATGGTGAAGTTGAAATCATCCCTTCGTAAATTTTACGGACGCCATCACGAG